AGTCAGGAACAGGAGGGCCCTCCCTGGTGGCTCAATGGGTTAGGACGCAGCACTGCAAGCAAGCCTCAGCTACTTCAGTTAGAGTTCGATCCCCCACCCCTGAAGTGACCCACATGACATGGCAGACCTCTCCTGACCCACCTGCTGCTCCCCTCAGCTGTGTACTTCATCAGTCTGCCTGTTCTGCTCCCCACTCGGTCTCTGGTGAATCCTCTCACCACTCCAGTACCTCTGGCTTGTACCCAGTTATGAATGCATAAATAAATCTTTTTTTAAAAGTCAGGAACAGGAGACAAACCATGAGGGTGGCAATCACAAATAGATATCTGCTTCTTATCCTTGCCCCCCAGTGAGGCTGTAGCACAGTGTATAGAGGCAGAGATTTGAGACCCAGACTTCCTAGGTTCAGATCCCAGCCCTTCCCCTGCTAATTGTAAAATCTTGGTCAATTCTCTCAACTTGGTCAGACCCAGATTGTTGGCAATTGAGGCAAATGATGATTTTGTTACCACATTAGGTTGCTGTGGGACTGAATGAGATAACTCTCCCAGATTCCTTTATTTACAGGATTAATTTAAGTGATTAATGTTTGCTCTTGTGGTGAATGGTGGTCACAGAAAGGTAAGGCAGAGGGGAGGGGGACTTGATCACATGGTTATAGCTTTCACTATAAAAACTACAGAATCATCAACAGTGTTCGAATTCTTTCTAGAAAGTGGAAAGAAGTCATTCTCCATTTGAGTCCTTCGTACTTGTCTTGTTCAAAAGTTTATCACTTTTATAGGAAAAAAAATTTGCTCTGCTAAGTGTAGACTTTGAATCTAGGCTGGAATTTGATAATATAGATATTGAAAACTGCATGTAACAGAGAGAAATATGTCACTTTCCACTTCATCTTGGCATCTAGGCCTAGTGCAAGTTATGTAAATAATAAATCATTTGTATTATGCTTGCTTAATTTTTTAATTTTTATGAAAGTTATAGATGCACAGAGTTTAAAGAAAGCATCCAATTCAGGGCTCTCCCTGGCAATGCAATAGGTTAAAGCACAGCACTATGAAGCTATCACAGCTGCTGCAGCATAAGTTTGATTCCCTGCCAGGGAACTGACCCACATGGCCCAGCAGACCTCTCCTGACCCGCCTGCTGCTCCCCTTAGCAGCATATTTCAGCATATTACATTTGCCTGTCCTGCTCCCCACTGTCTCTGGTGAATCCTCTCACCCCTTGCACCTCAGGCCTGTACCTAAACAAATCTTCAAAGAAAGAAAGCATCCAATTCTGTAGGCATATGATTAAAGACAACCATCTTCCCCCAGGACCAATTTCCTATTCTCCCATGACAACTACTTTGTACTCATTTAATTTTCCTGATATTTGTTCAATATCTCTAAATTTAAGACATTGGTTCCTTGATTTATTTTTTTCCATTTCAAGCATTTGCCATTGACTTCAGTTTGAAAGGGGAAGATTTAGGTGTCACCCAACCCTCCCCACCCCTACATCACATTCCCTTCCCACCACCCTTCTCTAATAACTGTAGCCTAAGTTTGGTTAGGTGGCAGTCTATGCTTCATTTATTATGACATTGTGACCGCTCTTCATAGCTGAACTTATTAGTCCATAATGATTCATCTTCCTTTTATGCACAACTGTGTTTTCTGTGTATATAATTGTCTTCTTGTTGTTCATTTGCTTCGTTTTCTATGTCCTCTGCCCAGAGCTCTCTAATCTCTTTGGCGTGGGCTCTAAATGACCAGATATTCCACTGGTTTTGTCCTTTTGCCACCATCTCCGCCAGGGTCATTTGACCTTATCCACTATGGTTAGGTTGCTGGGTAAGTCTGTGGCAAATGTTTTCTTTTGGAATCGCTTTACCATCCTTCTAGAATCGTAATCCAGTAGCATTCCAGAAGCTCCCTTGATCTTTTATAAATCTGGTTGCTTGATGTGATGATGTGATGATGTGATGTACTGTACTTTTCTATAGCAAGTATTTTGTTTACCCCCTTCATTTGATGGAACACATCCTCCAGTAACTTTGTGAAAGGTACAGACAAAGTAAAATTTTGGGAGACAATGAAATTTTTTTAAAGATTTATTTATTTATTCATATATAACTGGGGTATAGGCCAGAGATGTGGAGGGTGAGAGGATTCACTAGAGACAGAGTGGGGAGCAGAACAGGCAGATCAATGAAGTACACTGCTGAGGGGAGCAGCGGGCGGGTCAGGAGAGGTCTGCCTCGCCATGTGGATCTCCTCTGGGGCAGGCGGGAACCGAAATCATTTGGAAGTGGCTTTAGCTTCTTAGTGCGGTGCTTTAACCCGCTGCGCCACCAGGGAGGGCCAGACAATGAAATTTTTATTTGCATTATTCTCTCACTTTTAATGACTGATTTGGCTGGACATCGAATTCTGGGTTGAAATCATTTTCCTCTAATGTTGAAGGCATGACTCCATTTTCTTCTAGCTTTCAGTACTTTTGTTGAAAAATTAAAAATTTGGTTTGGGTCCTTTGTTTATAAACCTATTTCTCTGGTAATTCCTAGGTCCTTTCCTAGAAAACCAGGGTCACTACTCACCAACTGTAGAATGTATTAAATTAGACTAGAATGTTCATTTTCCAAGAGGTCAATCCTCATCCTAGGGCTCTGAAATCCTGATTTTGTGATCATATGTCTTGGTGCATATCTTTCTTTATCCATTGTACTGGACACTGAAAGAATTCTTTTGCTCTAAAAATGTACATCCTTAGCTTCTGGAAATTCTTCCTTGAATTACTTTGGTTTACTCATTTCTCCTTTGTTTTCTATAAATCATGCTCTTCAAATGCCTGGTTTCCTACTTTTTGTCAAAGTGAGGGATATGCTTGAAGTAACGAGCATATTTGTGGATTAAATCCTTGAACTATTTTTCACTCATCCTGTTTAGGCCCACTTTGCTTTTCCACTGCCTGGTAAATGACCTGCTTTAAAAACTGTATTGCTCTGATAATTCTATCTTCTTCCTTGTGGGTTTTTATCTTTTTAAAAATCCCTTTATTAATATCAAGTTATAGCACAACAAGAAAGAGCAAAGATAATGCTGTGTGTTCAGCTTGTCATCTTTAACTAAAAACCCAAGTGATATTTTTAAGGAAAGTCACAATTGATAATAGACACAAATTTTAAGTCCATTTGTTTAATTATAATAAGTTGAGTAAATATGCACAAACTTTTGACCTCTTGGATAATGAACAGTCTAGTCCAATTTAATCCATTCTATAGTGGGTGAGTAGTGACCATGAATTCTAAGCTTTGAGATTACAAGAAGAACAAGATAAAATGGTAAAGGATATTTGTCCTAATGTGATTTCTGTGGTATAAGCACTCCCTCGCCAGCTCCACTGTCTTGTCACTTAAACCTGCAGATACAAATCCTAATAAGGCAAAATTAGCAATGGAAAATACCTAAGTGTCCATATAACAAGTGGAAGAATGTGTTAATGGAAAGTGACTGCCCTCATTATTCATTTATGGTTCTATTTAAGTCATATCTTTCATGTCACTTGAATCCAGTCTGGTTTGACTTTGCCTGATCTTTCCTTTATAGACTGACATAAGCAGTCAGGAGAGAAGCGGCACCAAGGATGCCTTGTCCTGGAATCCTCTTTTCTATTGTCTTGGTGCAGCACATGCCTGTCATTGGCCCAGCTGAGAATGGACATGTGTTGTGTCCTCTTTCACTTACAAGGTCAAGGACAAAGGCATCAAGCTGTGTCCTGTGGCTGAGGGTAGTCCACGCTTTTGCAGACAAGCAGAAGTTGTGACACTGAGAAACCACCCTGACATGGTCCTGCAGACTCCCCCTGACCTCTTTATGAACATCTGCCACCATGAACCTACTGTGCAAAACAGAGAAAACATACCCAAAATCTCTCAGAGAGAAATTTGGGACGCTTGTTAATTTTGTTGTTGTTGTTCTTTTAATTGATGCAGCATTGGTTTGTGACACTTCATAGGTTTCAGGTGTTCAGACCTCTGTCAGCATCTGCATATGTTACATTACGCTTTTCAGCAAAAAAATTCCATCCATACAATTGACCCCTTTTACCCAATATACCCACTCTGAAGGGCTTTGAAAAACTTGCTGAGGAGAAATGGGGTCTTAGCCTGGCAGCTGCAGCTCCTCCCCCTACCCCCACCACTCCTCCACACAGTGCCCAGCCATGGCCCCCTCCTTCATTGTACCTAGTGGCCAGTTTCTACTGCAAGAGGAGTCTGGACACAGCAGGCCACAGCCTGCTGGACACAGCCGTGTCTCTGACAGCACCCCAACTGTCTAAGCTCAGCAGAGCCTTCAAATCTTTAAAGGGATATCTCTAGCCTGCTAAGGATAATGTTTTCTGCAGATCAATACACAAATCAGTCTTCTAAAAAGTCTGATTAAACCACAGTTCACTTTCAATAGAGATGAAAGAACAAGGTCAGAAGACTCTAAATCCTATGCCTGTCCATGCCGCTTCTGATAGACAGCAGCTGCCCTTTTCTGGGTGCGTTCCCTGAGGAGAGGCTTCTCATATTCCCTTGACATTAGCAGGGCTGAGGCTGGCTCATTGCAGGGATTCAGGACTCCTGTGGCAGCCAGGTATGCAAGGTCGCCTTCAGCCTTGCTGAACCTTCCTCAGGCTGCCCAGCAGCCTGGGAGGCATCTACCCAAACTTCACCCTCTCCTTTCTTGGGGCTTCTACTAGTCACATGGCACAGCCCTTCCAGCCCCCTGGGCCTCCTCCATTTCTCTCACGGTGTCCCTCTAATGAAACTGTTGAGCAGGTCCCATCCTGGCACCTGCTTTTCAGAGGATTGAGACTCATCCAGCAAAGGACCGCCAATGAGTTCATTTCAACGGATGGACATCATTAAGGAAGGCAATCGAAGCACGGCGGTGTGAGGGCCACGCGTCCTCCTTTGTCCAGCGTGATGCCACATGTTTCACTGTCACCCTCCCCTCTCCCTGCAGGTAGTGGCTCTTTCCTCCTGGTGCCTGCTGCGGGACTCTATTTACTACACGCTGTCCGTGGTCGCGCTCATCGTGGTAAGTGTGTGAAGGACACCTCATCCACATTCTCCTCTTGACCCGCTGTGGTCCTTCTCTCCATGCAGGGTCATGCATGGAATTCAAAGACTCTGCTTGGCAGAGCGAGTTGCATGTCGAGGCTTGAGCAGATTTTCATTCCTCTAGCAACTTTGATCACACAGAACCCATCTCAGAACTGGTGCTCAGAACAGTTCACACTCTAATTAGCTGGTTCCCTGAGAGTCCCACGCTGTTTCCATGATTCCCCCCACTTTCCCCACAGCCCTCCTGTAACTCCCTTCAGCTCAATGTCCTGTCCTGGACTTCACTTCTCCCGCTTCTTGCTCGACATGGCCTCTGAGGACATGCCTGCCTCTCCCAAGCCCCGTCATGGCCATGAATGCCCTTGTAAAGAACCTCTCATTGCATTCCTAGCAATGCTATCTCCCTGAGGTCCTGGGCATCTCAGATAAACAACTCTCTGCAGACAACTTCATGTCCCAAACTCAATGTGTCTCTAAACGTAGATGATTTTCCCAAAGTGAACACTCTTTCTATATTTCAGCCCCTGGGCTGATCTCGCCTCCCATCCTGGGAATAATAGTGAACTGGCTTTCCTCCAAAATCCCATCATACTCATTTGGCTTAATTGTTCTGCAGATTTTCATCTCATAAAAAAATCCCCCCCAGTGTACCCTACAGATCCACTTCACTTGAGACTTTCTAACCTCTGGTCTAAAACAGGTCATTGTGGTGACAGGAGCATCACTATCACTGATCCCCCTCCTCCCTGTCCCCAGGCATCCTCTGAGCCACCCAAGTGGTGGCTGCAAATGCCAGCCCCTCGTTTAATGGATCCATGCCATCTGTAGGGACAAATCCAAACTCCCTAAGCTGGCAGGCAAGCTGCCCAGGAGAAGAGTGGCAAATTGGAAAGAAGACTGAAAGGGGAGTTGGGAGACCTGATGTGGGGCCCCCACTGCCCTTACTGGGTCTACATTTTGCCTTGGAGAATTCATCCTCTCTAGGTCTCAGTTTTCTTATCTACCAAAAAGGAACTACACCCTACAGGCTCTCTTCACCTGCTTATAACCCACTTACCTGTAGGTTATCTACTTGTAAATCTCTCTACAAATAAGTTAAAATGCACATCTGCTATGAGACTTTCCACTTTCCACGAGAAAGCAGGTAGGTTCTTCAGCCAGCAGCAGTTCCCTAGAGTGTAGTGCAGGGGTTACAACTTCAGTCCCTTCATTCAATGAGCCATTGATAATCATGAGGGTCAGCTGCACCCCAAGCTGCAGAGCATTCAGATATACCCCGCCAGACTGAAGACATGCTACATCTGATAAAGTCCCCGTTAGTACACTCAATGGCACGTGACCGCTGTGGTCTCAGACTCAATGTCACCTTTGGGAAAGGTGTTCTCAACCCGAACCTAGAAGACTCTTCTGCTATCCTCAGGTCAGATTCTCAACCACTGTGTGCGGTGAGTTTTGTCCTGCCACATAGAACTTGCTGCTGCCTGTACTCAGCTCTTCTGCTTTTAGGACATTTTAGGATGATTTTTGAAATTGCTTTTCTCACAAAAGATAGTAAAAATGAACACAACCCTCTACTCAGAATTCCTAAGAGAGATGGGTGCTATCGTAAAGACACAAGGCAGTCAGCACTGGGCCAGGATGCCCACAGATCTGAGACATCCACTGCCAACAGTAAATTTGCCTGGGGCAGCTTCTCTCCATCTTCAGCTTCATTCTGTTCTCAACATAGACACCTCCTGGATGATGTGTGAAATAACTGGTCTTCTCACAAATTTATCTGGACATGATCAAGATAGAATAAATGTAACTGTTGTTAATGATGTGTGAAGCAGTAAAGCGATTTTGCTTCTTCGGGGACACTCACTTGACCCTTGTCTCTGGTGCAGCTACCATCTGCCTGCCTCACCTCTCCCAGCACCCCTCCCCCTCCACCCCCCCCACCATCCTTTCCAGTGTGTACACGGGGTCAATCACAGAGCTGAGCCAGCCCAACAAGCAGGCAAATGGTTTCCCTCCAATGGCAGGAAAGTGCAAAAGCAAATGATACTCTATTGTTACCAAAGATTTGGACTGTATATTTACAGACCAGATGGCAAGGCTAGAGTTTTACGATTTTGAGAAAAATTACACTTCCCTTCTGTTCAGCTGTAATGAAAAAGATAAAAGTTTGTGTCCTCACGGTTTTGTCTTGGTGTTTTTACTTACAGTGGTAGTCCTCCAACATCACTGGAAACATTCAGTGTGCTTACTTAAAACTTGGCACCAAGAGATTTTAATTCATAGATTCTGATATGGAGGCTCAGGAACTGCTCATGAGCCAGAATCTTCTGCCAGCTGCCAGGGCACCTATGCCCCTGGTGCTAGACTATACTATGGGAAGCTCAGCCCCAACTGTGAGGACCCCATTTCCCTGGGGTATTCATCTGTTGCCTGACAGCAATTCAGTCTAGAGTCAATTTTGAGATTCTCAGAGAAAGGCATTATGGCAGATTGGTGATGTGGGTCTCGGCTGTTCATCCTCAGTCATTTTCCCATGAGGCTGAAAGCCAACGTTAGGTGGCAAACAGTCTTGTAACCAGGCCCAGCACTTAGAAGAGGATTTTGAGTACACCCAAGTCTATTCCATGCCAAGCCCCAGGCTGCAGCTCACAGCTGTCAAGGTTTCTGAGTCTCCTCTTTCTGTGTTGCCCTTACTGACTTGCTAACAAAATCACTCTTCTTCTTATCTTCCTTATGTCATACTAAGCTTCTCTACAGAACCTGACAGTGGGCACCTAAAATTGCCATATTGAAAAGTCCTTCCTCCTTGTCACAGTTACTGACCTGCCCACATAATTCTTTTAATGAACTGATTTATTGTCTACACTTTTGTTCATTTCTGTATAGCATTTGATTTCACCTCAGGTATAATCCCCATAATTTTCCCACCACCACAGCACTAGTGACCATCACCACAGCCCTTGTGCTTCTTTCCCTGTGTTAACCCCTTTCTCTCCCCCTCCCCCACTGGATACCTTAGATTCATGGTCAGTTTCTAAGTTTTCTTTTCCCTGACCCCTTTGTTTGTTTTTCTATATTCCACATATAAGTGAAACCATCCAGTATCAAACAATTTATTGTTAAGTGTTAAGATTTTTTGGTTCTGAAATGTTCAGAAGATAGAACTTCTGGTCTCTGGGGGAGGTGGGTAGAGGGTGGGGGTGGTACAATAAAAAGGTCATTCACCCAGAGACAAGTCCAAGCTAAGTGAGGCCAGATGGTGCTGCTATTTATATCCCAGCAAGAGACCTTTAAACCTAAGCAGAGAAACCCCACCTTGGGGAGCATCGTGGGGTCTGGGGATCCAAGTAGCAGCTTCTCCAGGGATGGTCAGGGCCACTGGACCAGGAGATGCTAAGAGTCATTATAACCTGAATCATGAAGCAGCTGAAATGGAAGCACTTGCATATGTGCAGGGCCAAACTGCAGACACATAGGAGGAAGAAAGGACTTGCATTCTGAACCAGCTATTAAAATAGGTAACTTATAGATGAGGACTTGATTCAGTTTGAGTTTCACCTATTATTTGCTCGGTGCTATTTTCTAGTTCTTTTTGTTGTTATTATTGCAGATATTTAGGAAAAGCAGAAGGAATTAAAAACCCAGTATTGTCTACAACAATTACAGTTTCAAATGCACACAGTTTATTTTTCAGTGTCCTTCCTCTGAGCCCTGGTGACCTTCTCTATAGTGAAAGATCAGGCCCTGGAGAAGCTGGGTGTGGCCCAGGAGGTCACCTTTGAGTCCTGGGAGTATTCTGGGTTCTTTAGAACATGCTCTTGTGTGTATCTGCCCAATAGATAGTCTAGAAATTGGTACAGATCCTCTGGCTGCTTCTCCCCACCCTACAATTTTGACCATGGACAGCTCCAATTCCCCGGCCTACCCTTTCTCCAAATTCCAACCAGCAGCCCTGCCAGTTTCTTTTATTGAAATGTTACTGTAATTTACATAATCGTGTAATTTACATAAATGCAAATGATTCATTACAGCATCAGCCTAACAGCTGCCCTAAAGAAAATGCTTTATTTTTACTCTTCATCTCTGTTTTGAGATGCGGAATTGTGAGCATCAGGAGAAGGGAGCCTCCAGGGTGTGACCTGGATAGGCTCTGGGACAGGTTCCAGATAACTCGGACTGGCTCACAAAGCCAGACTCTCAAGTGATGCCTCCCTGGAGAAGGGCCTGGTGGGCTGAAGGACTGGTTGGGACAAGCTGAGAGCCAGCACAGTAGTGAGGCTCATCTGAGACATCACTTCCCTCTTCCTCCTGAGGGCTCAGAGGAATGTCCCTGTAATGGGGCTCCCCTGGGGACAATGAGGGACAACTCAGCTGATGCAGCTGCCAGAGATGAACTAGGCAGTGCTGTCCAGGACTTGGGCAGTGCTGGAAATGATCTTCACCTGCACTTTCCAGTATGCTGTCCTCAAGCCACATGTGGCTGTTGGGCTCTTGAAGTGCAGCTGGCAAGACCCAGGAATTGAATTTCAGTTAAGTTAATGGAAAATGATATGCAGCTAATGCCTGCCATGTTGGATAGAAAAATTCTGAAGAGGTTCTTCCATAGAAAATGCACCTGCATTCCTACAGACCTACATTGTTTTGAAGAGCCACAGACTTGGTACTTAACTACAGGACCGTGCACGATGTTGGATCTGTCGATCAAGGTTTTCTATAACGGTTCAATTTTCATGATTACGTGAGCTAGCTATTATAAGTCCTGTTTTACAAATGGTGAAACTGGGGCTCCAGAAGTTTGCCCAAGGTCAAGGAGCTGCAAGATCAGGGAGCTACAACTCTGAAGGTTTGTCAGGACAGGCATCTAAGATGCTTATCTACTCCACTCCAGCAAAGAATCCCAATTTTCCCTCAGCAATCCAAAATCCTTCTATATATCCTGAAGAAGGGCACTTTAGCTTAGAGTGAGGTTCACCA